CTGTCGAGATTTTCCCATCTACCGAGAATTATTGCGGTAAACTGTCGGGAACTATAGTTCACGGCAATGAATAATACAAAAGGAAATCATCTCTTATTTCATATCTTTCTATGTTCATATCCTTTCAATCCCATTAGTAAGATCACTCCGCTTTATTTGCGTAAATTGTCCAGTTAAAGTGTTTTGCCCGCACCTCGCGCTTATACGTCCATTTTAGAACACTAGTTATTTATAACTCGATAAAGAATAAGGTATTCAACGAGATATTAGTAACACGAGTTTATTTTATGTAATTACAAAATTCTAATATAGTATGAAATCAAGTTCATTAGATGCAGCTCGTTTGGCCAATATTAGCTCTACTCTGTATATTGGTCTGACGGCCTCTACACTCTACCCAATAAAAATTTAGTACACACTTGAAATTCAAAATCTAAAATTACGGATTTCAAATTGCGAACCGTAAATTCTAAATCACAATGAGAGAAATAAACAATTACAGGGGTTATCAATATTAAAACTTATCTAACCAGAGATCAAGAGAAGAACGTTGGATTACCAATTTGTAGTGGTTTAATCAGAAATCTATGTCCGCTAGGGGTGCTTCGGATGATCTTCAACCGCTAGATGTCCAAATCGCTTCATTGTCAACAACAACCACAAATATGGATTTTTAAGAAGTCGTTTGCACACAAATTTAACGAGAAAATACAGAAAATTGAAGATCAATAAAAAATGAAAGACAGCAAACCTCAATTAATGAGTACATAGAAGGGTTATATCATAATTCAACTTTATCCCATCTCATGTAATTAGTAAATCCCTTCACTAAGAACTCACATAATTTCCATCACTTTAACTCATGCTTTAAGAGTTTAACTTTGTCAGAACATCAAAATCAGACCTCACGTTAAATTGTTATTTTCAAAATTTTCAATTTCTTGATTTCATTTTTGTTGTGGATCTGTATTTATTCATTTATTTTCAAATGAAATGAGTAAATTCCATAATAACCAAATTAAGAAGCACAAGTGAGCTAATAAATACACTCGTCTTGTAAGTACAGAAAATCAAATTCCTCCCAATCCTTATAATAATGCAATTAAACTTTCTCTATTTGAAAAGAAAATGTGAAAGTAAATTTAGCAGAATGTGTGACAATAATAACTGATTGTACATTGATTTCTCCTATCCGACAAGCTTATCTTAGACCCTAAACATATAGTTGCAAATGCTAATTAATGTAATCAATTAAAAAATACTTTCAAATTTAAATATTGAACTTACTTTCCAAGGAGCTCTCATAAATTTGATTCAGACCATATCTTCTTTATAGATTATAACGAACACTAGGCTCATTCAAGTAAGTTAGTTTGATATCAAAATCAACACAATTCATATTTTTCGCCACTGCTTTAAAATCAAAACAATAAAACAAATTCGCATTTTTACCTTGGACTGTGACGAGTTGAACTTGTTTACCGATATAATCGCTTACTTGGGCTGCTACCCAAACACGAGTCCTTATTTGCAGTGGCAGTCACATACATTTTTAGTTAGTGGGGGCACAATCAAATTGGAAAAATGCCAAATTTAGAAGACAAATAGAAGTCAATTTTTAGTGCATTTATTTTCCGTACATAATGAGCAGAGATGAAATACAAAACACAACTACGACAATTTCAATAGAAAACTGTAAACTAACTGGAGCCTCTTGTGGAGAAACATAGTTAGTTTGGCACCGACTATGACAAGTGGGATTCCAGGAGTACAATGTAAAAGTTCAACGATCCACTGCCCATCAAATACCATATAACGAAATAAAATGAAATAAAACGAATAATTGAAAACGAATATCATGTAATACGAAAATCATAAAACACGAAACAGTATATTACAAATCTACAAAAATAATTGAAAACATTGTGGTTCACAATATTTCGTACATGTTAATGCGAAACGCATATATTACGTTCGAATGAATCACTGTTTGACATGTGGAACTATAATGTGTTGAGAAAAACTAACCTCAACTGTCGGGTCTCGACAGTTCATCTGTCGATAATTACTGTTGTGAACTGTTTGGAACGGTGAAGTTTAATATATCAGAAAATCAGAAACTCAGAAGCAATAGATATTTACCATTCAATGCCTGCAAAAATTTCATCGGAATTCATATTTTACTTGCCAATTTTGGTGAATTTATTGAATTTTATGGGGTTAATTTTCTTGAACCCCTTGCAACAAGCAATCCTTCTTTGCTTTTACAATTGACATCTCATCCAAAAGGAGAGACTAAGGAAAAGCAAAGGTCAAAATAAACATTAAAACTTTCAAAAGAAGACTAAAATAGAAACCAAAATAGTTAAAAAAATATTAATGAAATCAAATTATTTCCACACAAATTCATTTCGAAAAAACTCTTCCAAATAACAAATCCAGAAGTTCAAGACACAAAAACACACCTTGAAGAACATTCAAACATATTTATAAAAATTCTAATAAAAAAAAAACATTCAAACATATTTATAAAAATTATAATAAAAGAAAAATTACCTTCTTATAGCTATGATGTAGGAACAATGTATCTATCAATCTATCAGTGTTTAATCCTTATGTAGAACGTGTAATAATAAGAGATAGAGAGAGACTGAATATTTCACGACCAGACGGGAGAGAGCTCATAGAGGAGAGGAGAGGAGAAATGACTCAATGAGGATGAGGGTTAGAATTTCATTTCATATTATTTGTTTTTTCAAAATTTAGGCCCATGTCCTTCCCTGCAATTGTGAAGTGATTGATTTTCAATTTTTTCCACTTTTTGTACAACTTTTTGGAGTTGTTAACTCAAGAATGTGTTGGGTATTTAAATTTTTTAAAGGGGCAAAAATGTCCAAAAATGACAACTTGCAAAGGTTTTAAAAAAGTGACATTTTTGAATCTATAAAGCAACAAAATGATATTTAGTGCAATTTCTGCAATTTTTTTTTTAATTCAACTTCCATGTCACTTTTGGAAGTTGAATTAAAAAATTTCTTGATTTCATTTTTGTTGTGGATCTGCAATTGGAAGTTGAATTAAAAAATGTCATAATAAATGTCATGTAAACCCAATTTTTTTTCTTATTTTTTAACTACACATTTCTTATTGGAATGACTCTTGCTATTCACGAGTTTAAATTGTTATAGTTATTAAGGAAATATTTGCTCATGAAGAAATAATTTACCTTTTCTAGTAAAAAAATTAAAAATCATGCTTGTCTGTCTTGTTTATTATATGAAAAATGTCAAAGTTTCAAAAGAAATGTGGAAAAATCCACTTATTGCATGTTTTTTGTATGGATAAGAAGATATCAAGTAAATTTTATAAGCAGTGATTATATTTTTATCTCGTGTTAATAAGGTAATTGTACTTTAATTTTGTTTAATTGAATAATTATACTCTAATTTAATTTCAATTGAGTAACTCTATCTTACCATCAGCAGAACCAATGTGAATTGCCGACTTATAAGATTTTTTTTAATATGGTGTTATGTGATAAGTTAAATGAAATTTGAAATTAAATGACTCGTTTAATTATACTTATCATTTAATATTATATTGGCGACACATTGATTGAGAATATAAGGATTAAATAGTCGTTAATATTTTTTTTCTCCTTTTTGGATCCCATCATTGTGATTCGGTGATTCCATTATTCGTGAGGATGATATGATGCATCAGTCGAAAAAGAAAGTGGACCACAGCAAAAAGCAGTGGAAGCCGCCGCACTATATACTTTCCAAGTGCCCCCTCCACCGCTCTTTCTCTGATTCATCATCAGTCTCTGCTCATTACGGCAAATGAAATGAAAATACAAACAGTAAAAAACGGCTTTATTAGCAGCCCCCTGCCCCCAATCCTATTCTCTCTATAAAATATCCTCAAATTAAAACCTTGCATTTTTGCTCTGGGATCAACTCCAGGTACTTTTCTGGACTGTTTTATCAGTATTTTGAAGATTCAAGCTTTAGCACAGTTTATGAGTATTTGTGGATTTTCACGAGATCTTTATGTAAAAAAATTTTTCTTTGCACGTGAGTTTATGTATAATTAGCTTTTTTATTTGTTTCTGTGTATCATTTTTAAATTGAGTTCGAGTTTCTTGTCGTATAGTTTCGATTTATTTTTACTGTGTGGCATGATCATCGAAAGATTGTGTAATTAATGTGGAGTGATAAGATAAAAGAGTATGAAATCTAAACTTGCCTTTTTTTGTTCTGTTTATACCCAGCCGAGGTATTTTTCTTTTCTATTTATCAGTTCTTTCTTTTCTCTAATTTTTATGAGATATTTATGTTGAAGTGTTGTTCTTTACTCAAGGGTTTATATGAAGTTACCTGTTTTTGTTGCTATGGATCATTTTCTTTACTTCTGAATTGAGTTTTAGTTTCTTGTTTGAACAGTTGTCGGATTATTTTTATTGCATCAATTGATCACTGCACTAACGCTAATTTCAGTATTAGTATTGCTTGGTCTCATCTTGATTGCGTGGAAATTTTGGCAAATGCTCCACAGTCTTCGAATAGAAGTATAATTGCAATGGGTGAATGCACGGATTGTTAAAATTGAAATCACTTCAATTTCTGTGGTTTTCGAGGTCCTTTAATGCGAGTTTCAGTTTAAATCGTATCTCAATTTTTAAATTCATTTGTTTAGAACTGCACCCTGATAATTGTGCCCACCATGATCCAGTCAATATATTTCTGTTGCACGGATTTTCTGTGGCACAAACTATCTCACGACACACATCATTTCTCGATCTAAACATTATAGTGGCGAAGAACCAAATTTTGGTTTGGGAGGCTGTTCTAATAATTTCTATACTTGACTTCTCAGCTTTAAGGATGGCAGTGATGTCCCAGATTGGTTCATCACATTGCATGCATTTTGAGACGGTAAAATGTAAAGTTAGACATGAAGGAATCCATAGCATTGTTAACAATATGGAGGCTTTGAAAATGAAGGGCATCTTTTTTGGCATTTCTCCATCATCATGGGATTCTTTAAAGGCAACAAAAAGTTTGCATTTGGATGCTGTTGAAGTACAATATAAGCGAGGACATCGGGTAATTGTTGCTGCAAGTCCTCCAACAGAAGATGCTGTCATTGCCACAGAGCCACTGACCGAAGAAGATCTCGTTGGTTACCTTGTTTCTGGTTGCAAGCCTAAGGAAAACTGGAGGTTCAACTTCTAGCTTTTATTGGTACTTAAATTTTAGTTGCAGCGTTTCTTGTGAGAAACATTGTTAGTGATATTGTTTATGACGTGTTCATGAAAGATGCTTCCATGACTTGTGCACCAAATTCGGCTTAATGCCTTTTTGAGCCGAACTAAGTAACACAATGGGCTCATTTCAGATGTATGCATATCAATTTCATCCACCAAATATTGATCGCTTGACTTCTTGGTTGTATAAAATAAACATTTAGTGTTTTCTTCTTCTTTTGCTACTAATGCATGCTTTCTATTTGCTTTCCTTTTATGGGGAGGGGATAAGTTTGTGTGTTAGCTATCTGTTTATTGTTGATTTTGTCTTGAAGCTGGTGCTTGGTGTTGATCTTTGGCACTATTGGATACTAGGGAATTTAGCATCGTCCATTCCTCCTCTTGTTTCTAGCCTTTACCTCCTAGGTTAATTGATCAATAAAAAAGGTAATTCTTTATTTTATTCTTAGCAGACAACCTCCCCTGGTACGGTAAAAAACACCAGGCCATCTTATGACTGCCGTCTTTTTCAGTTTCTTATTGGCTTTGGGTGTTTTTTTTTTTTTGGTAGCATTGTCATGATTCCTATATTCCACACAGATGCAATTAAATTTTTTCTTTACCAAAGCTTGTATTCATTTGAATCATTTTTTATTTCAATGCTTTTGTTACTATAGATTTGTGTGTGCATGAAAGTTGATTCATATCGAAGCAGTGTCCAGAAATCTGATCATCCCTTTATATGAATCCGTGGCTTAAACAGGATAGGGACTGAACATGAAAAGTTCGGGTTTGAATTTGGAACCTTACAGCCCATGAAATATGAGCAAATAGCAGAGCTGCTTAATGGCATTTCTGAGAGATTTGATTGGGAAAAATTAATGGAGGGTGACAAGATTATTGGACTCAAACAGGTATTATTGGACTCAAAACTTGTATTGGCTTTTCTACACATTGCATAGCATGGTGAAGCTAGACGGTTCACTATCGATATCTATATCATTTCTCCCAAGTTCATCTCAGTTACGCATAGTGTAACTAGTCCTTACCATAATATTCAAAATTTCTGGATATTATGACGTCTTCCCCCTATTCATATCAAAATTTCCACTTCAAATTCACCACATTCTTAGAAGTAACTTCATTATCTTCTGCCAGGGAAAGCAAAGCATATCACTGGAGCCTGGTGGCCAATTTGAGCTTAGTGGTGCACCTCTCGAAACTTTGCATCAAACTTGTGCTGAAGTTAATTCTCATCTTTACCAGGTTAAGAAACTTATTTTAAAGCTTGTTATTATTTGCTGCTTAAAACATACTGCAAGTAAGTTCTGTTTAGCTTACATTTGCAAATGCTCAGGTCAAGGCTGTTGCAGAGGAGATGGGTATTGGATTCTTAGGAATTGGCTTCCAGCCCAAATGGGAACGTAAAGACATACCAATTATGCCCAAGGTAGTTTCTATATGCAATTGAGATATCTTGGAATGACAAAAATAATAGATATGACAATATATCCAATTGAGAATTTGAGTAATTAATCTACTTGTGATGGAACAATAATGCCTAGGATTTAAATAGCTGTTCAGGATGGGAATTTCGTATGTGGAAAAATAACAATTTCTTCACCGGCGTCCACTCCGATCAGGAAACAGATTAATTTTGATGACTAACCAGTACTAGAGTTGAATTAGATCCTTCTATAAAAATGAAATCAAGTGTAAATTAGTTACCATTTATAGACAATAAGACAAATCCACTTTTCAGGGAAAATGTAGAACTCTGCCTCTATTAAGTCTTGTACAACAGTCAATGTTTGGCTCCTTCTTTGGCAACCAGACACTTGGCACCTCATCACGGCACATCTACTTAATCATGATTTATGATAAGTCGTATTTGGAATCAACATCAGTTTTTTTCAGCATAATTTCTGTTGGTCCATTTTATTTAAAATGTGCCACAATTTCTTTCTGCAAATATGCTACACCTTTATTAGTAATTATTAGATTTTGACAAGCTGCTACATATAATGACCAAATAACTTGACACAGGGAAGATACGATATTATGAGAAATTACATGCCAAAAGTTGGGTCACTTGGGCTTGACATGATGTTCCGGACATGTACTGTTCAGGTGAGGAGAGTGAATTTTCTTTTTAATCACTTGTTCATTAGAAGTACACCGGTCGTGAATGTATCTTGTGCAGAAGCCACCACTTTGCTCTGATAATATATGTTTGTGTACTGAGCATTAAGGCATCTAACCTTGTATATGACAGGTGAATCTGGATTTCGATTCTGAAGCTGATATGATAAGGAAATTCAGGGCTGGTCTTGCGTTACAGCCTGTAAGTAGGTTGTTTCTCATAGTGAAATTGCATTTGATTATGCAAATCTAACTAGTTAGTAAAACAGATAGCTACAGCATTGTTTGCGAATTCACCTTTCACTGAAGGGAAGCCAAATGGCTTTCTCAGCATGAGAAGGTACTTAACTTTTTGCCATAATTGAGTTTCTTAAGATTTGCCTTTTTCTTTTGCATTTCGTTCTTTCCCCCACTAAGATTAGAAGTGATGACAAAAGAAAAGGCAAATCAAAATCTGCTGTAGGTGGTCCTATTATTCTTTCCAGGATTGAGATTTTCCAGTATTTGACACTACGTAATAATATTTCTCCCTTTCTATCAGCCAAATTTGGACAGATACCGACAATCATCGCACTGGCATGCTTCCATTTGTCTTTGACGACTCTTTCGGGTGAGTTCTCCACTCGCTTTTCCATAAAACACAAGGAAAAAAAACACGTGTCATTTGTACGATTTTTCTGAAATGGTACAATAAGTAACGAGGAAAGTATTGTCATCTGTTCTTTGAATTAAGGAGTATTTTCTTTGGCATCTTCCTGTGTATTTACATAGCAATTTCAGAAAGCCTACATGTCATGAAATATAAAATGAAAACTTGAAATTACATGTTCTTTACTCCCTTTTAGCTTGTGGTGATGTTCACTCGGCTTCACTTTCATTTAAAAGGAAAAAAAATGGCTTTGTTGCGAAGATGCTTTCCTTCTTTAAACAATGCAAGCTAGCCTGCTATTCCTCTACTGACAGGAATAAAATAAAGATATGTACACGGACTCTGTTGGCCAACTAATGAACCAGAAATTTCTGTTAGAAATGTGCTAATTTGATTGATGTGATAACTATCACTCTTTACGATACCTGTCTATTTTTTTCATTGCTGCATTCACGCATGGAGTTAATTCTTTTCTCATTCTGATAACTAAAGAAATCAGAATTTCTTGTGTTATGATGGTGACAAGGAAACCAAATCAACCAAATGGTTCCTTTCTAAGACAACCTTCTCCTTCGACCACACAATTCGTGTTTCTGTGTTGAGAGTTTGGTCGGGAATCCATCCCATGTGGGGTTGTCTATTATAGGCTTTCGCTGAACTTAATTTTTCAAAATTTATAGGAGGCTAACATACAATCAACTAGGTTATGTTTCATCCAGGTGTAGCACAAGTATGTATTTTCAAATTTAATATATTTAATATATGACGTTAGTAAGTGCCTTTTTGTGAATGGTTGAGTAACTGTCCTTCCCTAATTTTGGTTTGAGACGATTGACGATTTTTTCCAGTTATATATTACCCCTTGAAATTATACTTTACTCAAAATTTATTCTGCTATCCATTGATCTTGTGGCATTATTTTTTTTCTAATTGCATTTGTGAGTTTCTTCTAATCATGCACTAGTATCTATGATTTGTTTAACCACATTATTGGTGGATTACTTCATGCTTTAAGTATGCTGCTTATCTTATTTGCACAGGTTTGAGCAGTATGTAGATTATGCTCTTGATGTTCCGATGTATTTTGTCTATCGGAAGAAGAAGTATATTGACTGTACTGGAATGTCCTTCCGGGTTTTTTGCCTATCTTAATCTCACAGTTTTCTTCACTATTTTATATTATGACTTTTTCTTTATGCTAATTCTAACAATATGATTTGAATCATCTCCAGGATTTTTTGTCTGGAAAACTTCCTTGTCTTCCGGGTGAATATCCAACCCTCAACGATTGGGAGAATCATCTGACAACAATATTTCCAGAGGTTATCTTAATCTGAAATTAGTTGACTGAAAACGTTTTATCATTAACGTAGATATTGTTTTTCAGAATCATATATTTTTCAAGGCATTTATGAGTTTCTGCCACATCTCTTTTCAGGTCAGGCTTAAACGATATTTGGAGATGAGGGGTGCTGATGGAGGACCTTGGAGGAGACTATGCGCATTGCCTGCATTTTGGGTAGTTTTTTCTCTCTGATATGCAGTTGTGCAATATAAATATAATTGTTGGTTGCTGGGATCAGGTGCAAAGTTTTCTTTAGAAAAACCTCAAAATCAGATCATACAAGCAGACACATAAAAGAAAAGAATTTTGATGATAGCAAATGACTCTATTTATTGTTAGTAAACAATGTATCTTGAAAATCTGGATAGTGTGCATTTGCTTATTTAAATATTGTGGAGAATTTTTAATTTACTTACGAATTTAGAAGAGGGAGTACTGGTTTTAGAGTTACATGCAATACATATTTCCATGCCTGCTTCAGCATTCCTGGCCGGTTCTGATTTTATATGTTTTTCGATGTTGAATCATTTCACCCCGATATATTAGCTATGCTATTCTAAATTTCAGGTAGGCATCTTATATGATGACATCTCTTTACAAAGTGTTCTGGACATGACAGCTGATTGGACTCTAGAAGAAAGACAGATGTTGAGGAATAAGGTAAAATGTCAGTTGGCAGATCAATGAATATTGCCTTTAGTTGAACCACATTGTCTGAAAGCTCAAAGTGTTAAAGAGGGGAGCCATGTATTTGTTTAACTGATGTCTTCAGCTTGCCCCCTGAAGTGCAGGCTGAGTTTTTTTTTTAATCAGAGGTTTGACATGTAATTTTTCATAAATGGGTATCAGCAAGACTTGAACTTATGACGTATATCTGCTTTAAACCACCTAATCTAGAAATTCTGCTAGATAAGGGATAAATATTTTATTTAAATTATGTCTTCATTACCTTCTTGTTCTATCAATTAATAATGGGAACAATATTAAAGCTGGTGATAATGATAATATATTAGTATTCTTACAGACATTAAATATTTGTTGACATATTTCTTTTATTGGATTTCGCTATTTTACGAAGATGAGACAAAGGGTTTTCTAACACCCATTGATTCATCTACTATTGTTTCTATGAATTAGTAGAAGAGGATCATAAGAATACTTAGTTTCCTGGAATATCCGTAATATGCACATTACAATGTGTAAGCGGGGCTAGAATTTCTCGAAAGAGAATAGTATTTTTTTTTTTATAAATAAAATCAAGAAAAGTGATGTTGAAGCCATATACCGCCTCAGCAAGTGAACATCTGCATCGCTGCCACCTCCTCCAGCCCTGTTTTCTAGGGAGAAAAAGACAGCCTAATCTTTTGTATCTATTTCATTATTTTTGTCGTTATTATCTTTGTTTTACTATCATTTTTGTGCTAATCAGAGCCGTTTGATCATATATTTTGTTATTTGAGGACCAGTGTTTAAGACTATTGCTAGCAGATTGCATTTTGACTGATTTTGCTGTTATTGGAAATGACTCAAGTGCCCTCATTTAGTGGTGAAACAATTTGGATAACTCGTCGTTCATCCCAAAATATGGAGATCCTATCCTTATTTTTCCTTTGTAGCGTTGGAGATGCCATTTTAATTAAAACCTATGTTTGGTAGGTTCCAAAGCTTGGTTTGAAGACGCCGTTTCGAGATGGACTTCTGAAGCATATTGCACAAGAAGTTGTGAAGTTGGCTAAGGTGAGGTTAACTCCAATTTTGTAGTTGTTACTTATAAGTGAAATCAGTTACTCTTTTTATTCTTAATTACTGATTCTTGTATCCCTTCCTCTATCACAGGATGGTTTGGAAAGGAGAGGCTATAAGGAAACAGGATTTCTAAATGAAATGAACGAGGTGGTTAGAACAGGTATGCAATTAGTTATTTTGGATTTCTTGTCTGTTTATTTGCATTCATTGGTATTAAGTTGAATTAATGTAAATGCTTTCACTTTTTATTCTTCATATAAAGCATGTCTGGCTTAGATTAAAAAGTTTACTTATAAATGAATTAGTTTTAAAATAAATTGCTTATTTTGACTGGTCAAAGATGGAAATGAACAAGTTACTTATTTTGATAGTAAGGTAAGAGTTACATTAAAAAACAATTAACTTTTAACTTTGAAGTAAGGAAACAGTAACATACCCAAACATTCTAATTTGTAAATAACCGGTACTTCAGTTAAAGCTTATTCACCTTACATCCAACTGACGCGCAGCAGTAATCATACCTATTTTAACATGGCATCGGGCTGGCCATCATTTTGTCTTTGCGGGGGACAAAAGACTCGTTGTCTTGTGTATATAACCTTTTCGTTCATTTGGTATTTTTCTTGTAATTTAGTGCCTTGGAACATACCAATGGCACTTGACATTTCTTGGGCATAATCCTCGTGGCAGGTGTAACACCAGCAGCAAAACTTCTAGACTTGTACCATGGGAAGTGGGGACAAAGTGTTGATCGTGTTTTCGAGGCGCTCCTCTACTGAGGTGGTTCAAGTTGGTTTTTTTCTTTTCCTTATCGAGTTGAATAAAGTTTTCACAGCTGCTTTTTAATGTGATTTAAGACTGGGCGCTGCTTTACTATAGGTTTCCTTTCGTCCTGCCCCTTAAAATTTGGTTGTAATCTTGGATTTTTGCCAGTAATATTTAGATGAAGGATAACTTAAGCTTCTCGTTAGGTCTAGTAGATCAATCAAAACTTTTCATTATGCATCTCACTGCTTGGTTGAATTAAAGATTGTTACTTGATCTTGTTTTTCAGCCTCGTTCTCAATAATGAGCTATTTCTTCATGAACTTTGCTCAATGTAGCAACTTTGTCGAGATTTCTTCGTTAGCTGGGGGAAGAATAGACTAGAATTCTATTTCTTACCTTGGGAGGATTCTCCATCCCAAGCCCACCTTAGCCATGTGCTTCCATTCTCCCACTGGCTCCCAACCACGTTGTACATTGTTGTATCAGTATCCGTGTTTCATTATTTTTTATGGGTTTATTATCTTCGGCACATTCTGATTCTGGGGCCGTTTTGTGCTACAGCCTTCACATGTCAATTTGTATATGATATAATACTTGCTAAATATACACTACTGTTAAAAATCCAATAAAGAATTTAACGCTGGCCAGGATATGGTACATGGAAATAGAACTCCATACTCGATCTCAAAGATACATATGGAATTTTGCAGAAAGCCGTATTCTATGAAACATGAATCCCAATTTTAACAATTTTTCGTAAGAAAAGAATTTGATCTTTATCTTGGAGCCAAAGAGCTTTCTTACTTTGATGAAGAGTTTACCTCGTGAGAGCTTGTGACGCATGTTATGCTGTGTGCATGTATCGCACACGTGTTTGATGAGAATTTTAACACCTACAGGTCTCATTGCATTCTTAGTATGGAACATACAAGTCGATTGTTAACTATAACGACGATGCATTCCTACATGTGTGACTTTTTAACATATAGTATTATTCAAGTTTTAGCATCACTCAAGAACAAAGGAGAAAATCCCAACAGTATAGATTTAAGGTTTTATACGATGAGATTCAATATAAGATGGCAACAAACGAAGCTCCTGAGATTAAAATCAAATGTCGTTGCCAATTGTTTATTAAAATTATATACGAGCCAGTCTCAGATAAAAATATTGAATTGTTAAAAAAGACACTACACAAATGTCGTTCAGCAACTAGATATGCAAGGGGTTGCTTCGCGGAACAAGTCATATTATAGTACAGACAACTTATCTAGTAATCAGGGGTGGACGCAGAACTTTAACGTTGGGGGCACAATCAAACTTGCAAAGAAGTTGGGGGAAATTT